ATGACTGTGAAGATTTTCCAAATGTTGGCAGTAGACGAGCGAGTCGTTGTTGTTGCAGGATACTGATAAATTGGGAAAATTATAGAACTCGCGTCTGCCGATATTCTTCTTGTGTAAGAGCAGCTTGGCTACGAAAGCAGCGACGATAGTTTTTGTTTTTATTAAGTTCAAGTCATCGCCTTCAAGTTGGAGATTCATATCATTAAACAATGTATAAAGGTCTGTCAGGTATGCGATATCATTCTTTGATGTGATGAGGTTTTCGCGCAATGCTGTGTCTTTGTTTTCCAAGAACTCTATGACAGAGTCAAACAGATTGTAAAAACGAGTCAGACAATTTCCTTTTGATAGCCAACGCACTTCTGTGTGAAAGATCAATCTGTTGAAATCTTCATCATTAGCAACACAAAGCTGATTAAATAATCTGTCATTTAAAGAGTTGTTTCGGATTTTATTGACTGCTCTGATGACATGTTGCAATGATTGAAACAGTCGTTCACTTAAATTTCTAGCAACTAAATGCTGTCGATGTATAACGCAATGTACAGCAATCACATCAGGAATTTTGTTTTTTAAGTACGACATGAAGCCTTTTTGAGACCCTGTCATAGCTGGAGCACCATCTGTAGCAGCTGATATAATATTCTTCAAGGGAATTCCTTTTTCATCACAAAACTTTTCCAGTGTTTTAAATATGGTTTTCTCCTTTTGTGTCTGTCTCTAAATTTCTAGCAAATAAAAGTTCTTGACATATTTTTTCATCTTTAATGAACCTCACGTAAGACAACAACAATGCTTCATTAGTTGGTAAAGTGGACTCATCCAACTGAATTGAAAATTGACTAGTCTTCAGATGATTGCACAATGACTCTTCAATGTTTTCAGCCATTTCATCAATTCGTCTTTGCACAGAATTATTGCTCAAAGGAATTTTTCGAATTATATCTGCCGCCGGTTTATGGAGCACAGTAGTTATAACTTCTTTTATCGCCGGCAAAATTAACGTTTCTCCGATGGTGTGTGGTTTACCTGTTTGAGCAATTAACAGAGAGATATTGTATGAAGCTCGAAGTCCGTCATCGTCTTGCTTAGCAGCCATCGAAAAAAGTTTCGATACACTTGGCTGAGCATTATGCTTCTTTTCCAGATCTTGAAAATAGGCTACATTTTTGTCCTTCTTATCTGGATGCATTTTATTTAAATGATTTTGAAGGCTTCATCGCTTCGTTTGAAAATGTTTTTGAACAAAGAAGCAAAGATGGGTTTTTCGAATTTTCTATGAATCCATATTTAATATATTCTGCACTGTATTGCCGTTTCTTCTTTTTTGCTTGCGACATGGCTTTTTTTTTTTTTTTTTCAAAAATATGTAAATAAAGTGTTGAACTTAAATACTCGTTTAAAGATAGCGCGCGAAACCACTAATGAAAATATAAGAAAAATTACGAGCTTTTATATAGGATTTAAATACAGCAAGCACCGACAGGAATAAGACAAACACGCACAAACTCGTTTATCTCTTTCGACGCTCAATCGTACTGAGCAAGTTAGGACAAGTATCGATGAACCAGCCGATTGCTACCACGTACAGTCCGTTTTCGTATTGCAAAACCGCCACCTGTCGACGATTCTATTCTGAAAAGGGGCGATACGCTGAGATGGACTTTTTCCTCAGACCGGTTTTTCAGAAGCACGGAAGCACGCATGTTAAGTAAACATTTCTCTTTTGTCTCAACCCTATTTTGATGAACTCGAAGCAGACCTGACGCATGCGTAAAAGCGCTGAAGGTTTCTCCAAACGAAAACGGACAGTACGTCTACGGAGCACAACATCATAAGTGCACCGGCTCCCGCAGTTAGTCTTTTCCCCCGGAATGTTTGCCACATTTGGCGATTCATGCATTTACACAGCTGTATGCTTTTCGTCATTTTACAACGTACGCGCATACATACGGCGCGGGCTATCCTACGAAATCTATGTTAAGTATTTTAAGTTTTATACCATCATACAAGGTAGAAATATAAACTAAGTATTCGTTATTGTGTAGTAGGTAGGTTTTAATTCTAGTGAAATTTAAAATATAAAGTAAATCAAATTACAAATCTACCATCGCCCCCTAACCCACGTCAACGCCCCCCATTTTTTTCTGGGCCCCTTAACGCCTCCCTCTAAGTCTCAAACGCCCACAAGGGGGCGTTATCGCCCACTTTGGGAAAGACTGCTTAATTTCTGATTCTGAGGTTCTTTTTCACCCTAGTTAGATAAAGCATAAGCAAGGTTCTCTCTTTAACTGCTTTTTCACACAGCTGGGAAAAGAAAAATGCTTTTCTGCCTTAATAGCCAGCGGCCTGTTAGAAAACTGCAAGACAAAAGCCCACGAAGACGAATGCCCATTAAAACAGCACACATTTTCAGGAAATCCAAAATAGCTATGACTTTCCTGAAAAATTTTATCGAGTAATAATTATTATGATTAAAAATGAAATTTCAAGTGGGAATGGAATTAATTTATTTAAAATCCAAGTTGTCAAAATTTAACTAGATTATTTAAAACCGTGCTTTTAATTCACTATTAAAACAGTTGTTATAGCGCACACAAATGTTTTCTTAATCATAATAGAATACGGTACTTTTATTTTTTTCCTTGAAATGAAAGTTAAGCTATAATTCTCCATATTAAATTCATTGTCTGCAAAATTTTCTGCAGTGTTAAATTATTCATAAATTATTCTCTGTATATGATGAAAATTTACATACATTTTATACTCCTTATAATTTTGTAGAATTAAAAGAAGCAGTGTGGCCAGTATTCCCTTTCATCTCCCTTTGTCGGACTTATACGAGGGCAATTCCATTTGTCGCGTAAATGTAAAAACAAAGTTACACATACATGTATATGTTTTTAATTATATTATTTTGATTGATTCTCTGTTCTATATACATATAGGATTTTAATTTAGCCGGAGCCCAAAATGAAATGTGTTCCGCTACTTAAATTTATTGTTCAATTAATTTTTTATTAATTTAATTTATTTTTATTTTATCTTTATTCATGAATCTGCTTTGTGAAGCTGAAGAAAAAAGGGAAAAATATTAATTTTAACCAGAGTAAAGGATTCAAACATCTTCTAACCATCATCGATCGTTATACACGATGGATCGAAGCGGTACCGTTAGAAGATCAATCAGCAGAATCTATTGCTAAAGCTCTGATTTATACTTGTTTTTCACGCTTTGGAATTCCGAATCGCATAACATCTGACCAAGGTCGGCAATTTGATAGCCAACTTTTTCAAGCTTTAGGAAAATATCTTGGTTTTCATACAAACAATACAACTGCGTACCATCCACAGGCAAATGGTTTGATCGAACACCGAACTTTAAGAGCAAGCCTCAAATGTCATCTACTCGAATCAAAATCATGGCTGAAAGCATTGCATTTCGCTCTTTTAGGCATAAGATCTGCCGTCAAGGAAGACTTAAGTTGCTCATCCGCAGAACTTGTATAGAGAACCACTTTAGCATTACCAGGAGAATTCTTTTCAACAGTACCTCATATGAAACAGTCTGAATTTTCCAAAAACCTTCAGAAAACAATAAGAGATGTGAAGCCAAGTCCTACCACCACCCGTTTAAATAAAACAGTTTCTAAACATCTTTCCAACTGTTCTCACGTATTCCTGTACAACAACCTTAATAATTCTTCACTATAGCCTGTCTATCTTGGACCGTATCGTGTAAGAGCAAGAAAGGGTAAGTATTTCGATATTGAAATCCACGGAAAAGAGTTTCAATAGACAGACTAAAGCCATGTTTTCTAGTGAAAGATTCTGATAATCCTTTCCAAAACTCCCATTCCAAGAAAGCAGAATTTGGGAAAACACCTGCATTCAAGAACACTGAAGAAAACTCCCATTCCAAGAAAGCAGAATTTGGGAAAACACCTGCACTCAAGAACACTGAAGAAAATTTAGAAACTCAGCATGAACCAAGACTACTAGAACTGGCAGACATGTAAAGTTCCCCAGTCACTTTAAAGACTATCTTCCATAATCTCTGTCACTAGGAAGGGGGTGTGTAGCCTCACTTCAGTTCCGTCAAGTTTTTAATTTAGTTAAAGCGGAATAGCAACACTTTTTCTTGTCTCTACGAAAAACAAAGGTCGGTATTCTATCATGCGATTTAATGTGCATTTAAAATGTAAATAAATATATATAACATTGTAAGAAATAAAATATTGATTCTATTGGGGTCAGAGAAGTGTCATTTTCCTACATTTGCATAAGATGGACTTCAAAAAGCAAGAACAAACCGACAAACGCAAAGCAATATCAAGGAACCGAAACTGTTATACCACCAATTTTTAATTATAGTAAACATAATAATCATCGCTTTTTCCATCCAATGGCGCCATGGATGGAAAACGGAAACTTCCAGTTATGCGGTTATAAACAAGATTGCAGATTGCTCATAAAAATCCATCAAGTTGCCTATTGACACGGAGAAAAACTGTATTATTAACGACTACAATAGCATATGTTTGTAATTCAAAAGGAAAGAGAATTCCAGTTCGCGCTATAATAGATAACAGCAGCATAGCCATTGATGCCAAATCTCACTTTCAAATGTCGCTAGATACACCTGCAAAAGTAGCTAAGAATTCGCTAAATTCAGAAGAAATTTTGCTAACAGTAGTAGCTAAATTTAAAAAAAAAAGTATAATCCATATAAAACAAAATCGGATATAAATAATAGATCTTACCTGGTTCTTGATCTGAGCTTCTAAAGAGAGTAATTGAAAATTACTTAGCTTTTAATCCTTTATTGACACATTATACGAGGAACAATTGACTTGACAAGATGCATCTTGCATATCTTGCTACATTCTAAAGATAAAGTAAATAAATCAGTTTTAAATTCAAGGGCTCACTACCACTCCCTAGCGTCTGAGTTTGCAACATCCTTCGGGGCCAACAGTTTCAGGAGACGCAAATGTTCATTAAGTGTTGACTAAGAGTTCCAGAGCACATAACAATTGCACAGGTCTCCTAACGAGAGTTCCATTCGAAAGTCTCTCGGTGCATGCACGGACACGACCATCACGTCCAGAACGTAATTCTGTCACAATACCCATTCGCCATACAAGTCTAGGCGCATTGTCATCTTTTATCAAAACCACAGTGTTCTCTGGAAGTTCTTCGGGTCGGTTTACTGATCGTGATTGGTGAGCTGACCTAAGCTCAAGAAAATATGATGCCTTCCATCTTTTCCAAATTCGATTAAGTAAATCTTGATATCTTCTCATCTTCAAAAGTTGAGATTCGGAGAAAGGAATTCCTTGAGTTCCTTGAGGAAGAGTTAATAATCGTCGTCCAATCAAGAAATATCCAGGTGTTAGCGGTTCTCTTTCATTTGGATCGCTGAAAACACAAGTGAGATGCCTAGAGTTGATAACTGCCTCTGTCTCTATCAATATAACTCCCAGTTCTTGAAATGAAACTGATGTTCTTCCTAAGAGTCTCTTCAGGGACGTCTTAACTGACCTTACCAAGCGTTCCCAAAAATCACCCCACCAGGCGGCTATTTCCACGATAAATTTCCACTTGATATTCCCAAATAAATTTCGTACTTCTTCTCCTCTCATGATTTTCCACAGCAAATTCAGCTCTCGGTTTGCCTTGAGGAGCCTTTGCATTATCACTATAGATCACACTGCAAATGCCTCTTCTTCCAACAAAATTTCGAAAGGCTTGTAGAAATGACTGAGTGTTTAAGTCAACAGTCAATTCCAAATGTATCGCTCTTGTTACTGCGAAAGTAAAGAGCAGTACATAAGTCTTCTTCATGGTATCTCGATCTTTAATATATAATTGTCCTAAGTAATCCAATCCAGTCGTTTGAAAAGGATATGCTTCTGATATTCTGTCAGCCGGCAGTGGCGGAGTAATCTGAATCACTGGCTTCGTTCGAAATTTCTGGCATAAAAGGCATTTATGTTAACACTCTTAATTCGTTGTCTGATCCTTAAAATCCACGTTTTCTCTCTAAGATGAGTTAGTGTTTCTGCTACACCTCCATGTCTTACTCTTTCATGGCAGTCCTTAATGATGAGATCAGACAAGTGACAAACGCTTGGCAACATAACTGGATGTGCTTCTTGTTGCGAAATATTATCATAATGAAGACGCCCTCCGATTAAAATTATTCCTCTTTCATATAGAATAGGGTTAAATTGCCTAATGATTGAATTTGTTGGCAATGGTCTTCCTTTAGTTAAAGCCAAATATTCTTGCAGAAAGTACTCCATCTGTGATCCTTTGATCCAATACTGTTCAGCTAGTTGAAGTTCTTCTGTTGTTAAACACCCATTTTTCTAATTGTACGAATTCTTCACTTCGTAAATAAATCTCTGAATCCAAGCTGTGATTCGTAATACGTTGCTAAGTTTGCTGAATTTCCATATGTCAAAGAGTGTTTCTGATTCAGTTCCTACGAAAAAGGTAATAGAATTTTCTATTTCAGATTCATCTTCAAACGAATCAGAAATTTCATTACTCGATTGCGGCCAGTGGTCTTCGTCTTTCCTTATCCAAGGTGGTCCCTTCCAGTGTAGTTCCTTGTACTTAAAAGTAACTAAGTTGTCTCCTCTAGACAGAAAATCTGTTGGGTTTTCCTTTCCGGAACAGTGATTCCACCAATTTCAATTAGAAATAGTCCTTATTTCTTCAACTCTGTTTTTTACAAACACCTTCAATTTTCGAGAATTACCTTTGATCCAATCATTGAATCAGACCAGAAATAAAATTTAGTATCCTTCGGAAGTTCCAAGTTGTTCCGAATGTACTGAAATAATCTAGCTCCTACAAGCGTTACAAGAAGTTCCAGCCTAGGTAATGTAATTTCATGCACTGGTGCAACTCTTGATTTTGAAGCTACTAAAACCGAACTAGAGTTTACAACTAAATCCCTGTAACGTAAATAAATTACAGCTCCATAGGCTGTTTTGCTTGCATCTACGAAACAATAAAGTTACCAATTAGTTAATTCTTCATTTTCTTTTAGTTCAAATAAATGCCGCGGTGACGTCACTTCGTTCAAGTATTGCAATTCTTCACACCAATCTTGATATGTTTACGCCAAATCTGGTTCATCCCATTTCAGTCTTCTCTTCCATATTTCTTGAAGTATCATTTTCGCCCTAATGGTGAACGGAGAAATAAGTCCAATTGGATCAAACACCCTTCCAACAGTTCTTATTACACCTCTTTTCAACGATTTCATTTCATATGCATTGTTCGTATTCAACAGTTTTTCATTGTCGATGCTTATACAATCTTCCTCAGAATTCCAGCAATAACCGACTACCTTACAAGGCGAAGTATCAGAAGCAGTTTTCTCATTGAATCGATCCTGAAGTAAAGGTATATTTGTTCACCATTTCCTCATGTTACATCCAGCTTCTTCTAAAACGAACTTCACCTGTCGATGTACTTCAAAGGCAGTTTCTTCATCTTGCAAACTATGGATAAGATCATCAACATATAATTTGTTACTTAGGATTTGGAACGCAATTGGGTAGTCTCTTTCATACTTACTTACATGGTGTTTCAATGTTGCATTTAGCAAGAATGGACTTGACCTTAGACCAAAACTAACCCGCGTCATTCTCAGCACTTCTGGTTCCATGTTTATATCATCTTTAGTCCACAGAAATCTGACAGCATCTCTATCTTCCGGTGCTAATGCTATCTGCAAGAATGCACTTTCGATATCAGTTGTCAAGGCGACCCTGTTCAATCTGAACTTCAGAAATAAGGCCAACAAATCTGGCGTTGAATTCGGAGCGGGGTTCAGACAGTCGTTAAAGGAAACAGAGTTTGCTACACTAGAAGATGCATCAAAAACAATCTAATTTTTGTAGTTAATTTATCTTCATGAATTACTGCTTGGTGAGGCATATAATAAACTTTACTTTCAGACAAACTGGAATCAAACTTTTCGGCTATTCCTTCGGCAACATGCTTCGAAATGAGTTCCTTATACTGATTAAAAAACGAAGGATTTCTCTTAGATTTATTAACTAATTTTTGAAAACGTCTTTCGGCGATGGGATAGTTATTGGATAAAAATTCAACATTTTCATTCCACGGAAGATTGACCACATAGCTACCATTAACCATTTTTATAGAGCTTTCAAATTCACTTAAAACCTCATCATCTTTAAAATTATCATCGCACGCGATTCCTAAACATTCTAAATCAAATATTTTTTTTTCTTTTACGTTTTCATTTCGAACAATAGTTTTCATTACTCTGGCTTCCCTAGAGTTCGATATTATGATTGAGGTGTTAGATCCGTTGAACATATACCCAAGTTTCGTTTCCATTCCTACTAATGATCCTGGCATTCGTTTTATTTTCCCAGTAACGATACTCAAAAAATAATCTGAACCAATTAATAACGATATTCTTAAATTTTCAGAGTCTAATTCATCTGCCATATGTAATTTCATCTGCTTACAATAATCACTAATCTCTCTACCAGGTGCTTTAACTATAGCTTCGAAAATACACGGATAGCTTCTAAGGTTATTACTTCCTTCGAATTATAAACACTTCTCAAGTTTACCTTCACACGATTACTCATTATTGTTTTTTCTGCTTTGGAACCAAAAACAAAAATACTTAAACGTTCCCGACATATAACTTCTAATTTACGATATACAGTCAAAAGTCTTTAATCCGGACTCGTCGGGTCTTCGGCGATTCCGGATTATAGATCATCAGTTTAAATCTGCTAAGAGGGCATGCAGAAATTATAAAATTAAAAAATATGAAATCGTAATTTATGAAATAAAGAACAATTATGATCTAAAGGGTATCATAATTTACAAAAAAAAAAGCTTAATATTTATTTGTTTACTTTATCAAACATTTCTTTCAACGCGCGCATTCGAAATTAGAAAATTGCAACCAGAAAACTATTTGATGTGTATTCGTGATATTTATAATGAATTTGATTTAAATCATATCAAAGACAGAGTACATCGAGATGAAATACTACATTTAATAATGAACTATAAGCCGCATAAAATAAAAACATCTGCCCTGAAGATAAGGATAGTGCTGACAGATCAACTTCCAGTTAATTGCGCGCCGCGACGTTCCCCTTCCTTGCAGAGCAGCGTGAAATTGATAAACAGATTTCGGAATGGCTAGAGAAACAAAGGATATGCCTTTATCCATTTTTTGCAGCAATTCCACTTTTTGTTTGATGGACATCGAAACATGCTTTCGCTGTGTAGATCCTTTGTCAGTATCCAGCATCGGAAATTCTATTTCACATAATCGAAAGTTCAAGCTTACTTTTATAAAATTGCTCTAACAGTCTGCAAAAAATAATAAGCCGGATCCAATTAGAAGGTTAAGGAACAACGCAATCTGCAACATTAACTGAAATAGATAATTAGATAATTTTAGCTTACCTTATATCATCCGTTATACATTAAAGGTGCATGCGTAAACGTATTACGATTCATATTGCTGTCATTTATCTTTATTTTGTTTATTTCATTTCCCGATAAGCCTTTTGTCACTGATCCCTCCTCGCAAATATAATAGCTATGCTTTTTATTATACTTCTTTCACCGTATTCAATCGAGGCAAAATCTAGAAACATGAGATTTTTTTAAACAATTAAAACAATATCCGAGACGTAATAAGCTAGCCTTCTGTTCACTTATAGATAAAGGACATTTATCGATCGTATGTTCATCCCTAGGACAAAACATAGACTCATTTTTAATTGTAGTAGTATTTAACGCTGCTGCTGTCGGTAGACGTTTAGAATTCTCATTTTTCCTGAACTGCGAAATTTTTATTTTATCGTCTTCGTCTGTCTTGGGAAATAAAAATGTTTTCTCGCGTGTTTCTATTTCCCTTTTAAGAAATTGGAGTAATTTTGAACAATTCCACGAGTCTTCTTCGTTAACAGAACGATTATATTTTAATACTATATCTTCAGGAATTAATTTTACTAAAATGGCGAAAAGAATTCCACCGTAATTACTTAGTTCTATCCCTGCTGTTTCGAGACTTTGAAAAGTAATTGTGTCATGTAATTGTCTCTTTTCCTTTAAGTTCGAACATGATTTCACAGGAGTTATGCTGTTTACATGTCAACGTACAATAATTTTGTTTTTACCAAATCGCTCTTTTAATAGCTCAAGAACTAAATCGTAATTATTTTGCGTTAATGTCAATCCTTGTATACATTTTAATCCGGAAACTTTTAAGAACGATTTTAAATAGTTAAATTTACCAATTTTTGATAACTGTTTATTCTCATGAATTGCACCTTCAAACTGTTCCCCAAATCCTTGCCAATTTTCATATTTGCCGTCGAAAGGTTCAATTTTTAATTTCGGCAGTTTGACATTAGGATAATTAAAAATTACCCCTTCTTCAGAAATTCTAGAGGATTCATTTGAGTGCATCAATTTTACTTTCGTTTTCAAGTTTACGCTTAAAGTGTCTTAATAGTTTCGATTTGGAACTCGTAATCTTTTTGCGGTATTCCTGACTTGTCATAACATCAGCTTCAAGCATTTCTAAATCACTTATAATGCTTTCTATGGTAGAATCTAGCTGATAGATCTGATTAACTTTTTCTTCTAACTGATATTTTAAATCATC